CCGATCGCAAGCACGTGCGGGCGAAACATTGAACCGAGCCCGAGGAGCTCCCTGGATAATGGATCGCGCTGCCCCTCAGGGTACATGTCGCACTGTGCAAGTGCCAGCTGCGCAACGCCAGGCTCATTCAATCGACTCAATATCCAAGGAATCGTGTCCAAATATTTGATCCGTTCTGTTGCTAAGTGGCGCGCTAGCCGCACACACCCCTGCACACGTTGCAACCAGGCCTGGTCAGCACAACTGAACCGGTCGATGGACCACGAGTTCGCTTCATTGAGCCCACTTTGCAGAACAGCGGTGGCGTGTCCGTGGATCGTGTGAACCATGCGGCCGCGCATGATGCAGCCTGGTTGTCCTGACGAAAGCACGAGACCTGGCAAAGCACGGGCGTGTCCAAGCGCCGCGCCTGCAAAGGCGCATCGCTTGTCCAAGCGAGCAGTTTGCGACTGGCCCCAAAGCGCAAATCGCGAGCCACGCTGGCCCTGCGCGAATCAGCCCCTAAGACCCCTCTACCCCTGCAAGCATTCAGCGGGCGGGCGAGGGGGGCGGGGACGTGGGGGTACTAGGGCAGCGGCGGCCACGGTTGTTCAGACTTTGATTGTCACGTTTTCGAGCTAGCTTAGCCTCATTCCCAACCCCGCGCGCCCCTCGGAGGCGCGACCTCGGGAGGGGGCGGTGGGCAGGAACATGAAAAAAAAACCTCTGTGTTTTTTAGCGCCTGGGGGCTGCGCGGCCGACCTCTGCCCGAGTTCCGCCCCCTCCTCCCCCACCTCCCCCGTCCAACAGTATGCCTCTGCTCCCGCCATCCCCCCCCCCTTCTCGGTTTTTGGCCGCTGGTGCATTCAACTGCCTTGCGCAGATTTTCCCCGCGGCGCTGCCATTGAGACACTCGCCGAGGGATGGGCTTGGGGACGAGGGGGCTGACTTCAGACACGTAGTGTAAGTGTTATTTTCAGATGCATACGTCCTTCTGGATGACACAAGCACCTGCCCACGTAGTTCTGAAGAGGAGCCAACCACGCGGTGAACCACTTCACAAAAGACAATTCCCGCGTGGCCCACCGATCTGAACCCAATGCCGCCACAATGGTGCCGAACAACGTCTGGTCCCTCATGCCACGGAACAACGCGGGGTCGAACGCGGAGATGAAGGTCTCCAGGATCTCGCTCAGGGGCGTCACGCAACAGTGGAGCGTGGACCACCTCCACTTGGCAACACTCGGGAACGTGAATACAGAGACAGTCTCTGCCACAGCTGGCAATCCCCGCCCACGCAAACCCTGAACAAGCGTTTCCATCAGATTCCTGTCCCTGAGAAATTTCACAAGAGCCTTCAACTTCGTCAAAAAGTCAGGGAAGAAGTCCAACATTGATAGACCACGCCTGATCACTACATCGAAGGCGTGACGCCACCCGCTAGACCGTATCACACGAGGCATCAAGCGCCCATTCGCCCTGACCCCCCGCGGCACTGGTTCCCTGATGAACCAATAATAATCGGGGAGGAAGTTCGTCATCATATGAATGTTGCGCTCGACGCCGCTGTCAGTCAAAACGCCTCGGATGCGCTCTAACATGCGCGGCAGGAGCTTCGGCCCAAACACCAACGTCAATTGCCACAACAAAGCCACTGTCTTCCCGATCGTGTCTAACTGATCTCTACCCAACGAAATGACGGGCAACAGGCGGCTGTAGTACTCCAGTCTCTCTCCACGCCGCGCGAAGATGTCCACGGTCGAAGCGTGGAGCTCTTTCCCCCTGTGCTGAGGGCTGCCGTCGACATACACAAACAAATCTAGATCCTCAGGGCGAAATGTGCTGATGAAACTTCTCCACATGTGCATGGCGAACACATCGAATCGAACGCGTGCCTTCCGAACGACCTCTCGATTGGCCTTGCTCGCGAAGTTCTCCAAAACCTCTGTCGCCTCAGGGCCGAGTTCCAAGGAAATGGCTGATGCCGCCGACTTCAAAGATTCTCTGATGTTCTTGACATCTGAGAGCCCCATGCTGTGCCTCAAACAAGATATGGTGTGCGACAACTTCTGGTCGGGCTCGATTGCAATCACCTGGTCGCCACTGTCGTGGCCGCCGCCGCCGTCCTCAGCACGGTGAAGGTGTCTAAACCTGCGAAGCTGCTGCGGCGACGGCCTGATACAGAGAAGATCGCGTCTCCTGGGCCGTGACTGGCCGATCGCTGTCAAGTGCGCGATGTGATAGGCATTGCGCACCAGGGCGTCGGCGAGCGAGGGCGAGAACGATTGGACACAGCTTACCAATGGACCATCATCCTGGAGAGCCAACCACTCCCCGACTGTCGCGAACGATCCGTCGAACTCGAGGCCTCGGTCGGCACGTGCTTCATCGGCCTGCCTAGCTGGAACCTGCGAGACTGGCGTGCGAGCTGCATCGAGCGCGATCCCGTCCGACGCAGCATACGCCACGAAACCGACGGCCGACCGCCCTGCCAAAGACAAGGATACCATATCACGAAACGTTCTACTCTGTTGCTCTTCAGCTTCGGCGTGGGTGATCAGCAACCAACGAGCACGAATGAAACCCACAATTGAACCATCGGCTGCATCACTTTCACTGCGTGGCAACAGCGTGGGCCACAGACCTCGTCTTGAGTCAGCTACAACGACCATGATAAACTCTGGGCCGTCGATGCAATCGGGAACTCTGGCGATGCGACGGCCTCTGCCACGGATCTCTGGGACTGGAACTGGGAGATGGGCTGCGGCGCCGCCTACGAATTCTGAATCATCGGACCCAGTGGCCGCCACAACGGCTGGGGCCGCAGCTGCCGCAGCCGCACCACCCACGAAAGAATCTGAATCTGACATGAGTCTGGGCGAGAAAAATGCACCGAATTGAAAATTTGACCCTAAATGTTTACGGGCAGTAGTAGTAGTAGTAGTAGTAGTACGCAGGCTGTTTCAATCGCAGCGTTGGCAAGCGTGGCTCAATCTCAACATACTAGGCGCACTGGTCACGCGTGCAAGACTTCGCCTCATACGTGTTTGATTGTTCCTTCTCCGTCTCTTCACGGGCCCCTCCCTTCTCCCCCTCCTCCCCTTTCGGCCTCAGAGGGGGTTCTCCACTTCCCTCTTCTTGGACCTCCTCCTCCTCCTCCATCCCTGCCGTCCCTCCTCCCCCCTGCTCTCTTGAGTCTCCAACATCCTGCCTCCCCTCCTCCCCTCCTTTCTCCTCATGCTTCTCCTCCTCTTCTCCTTGGGCCAACTTGGAGGAGGCCGACTCGGCCACGCCATTGGAAAACAAGTGATTGTCTCGAGGGAAACGCTCGTTTCTAAGATCAGCAGTCAACTCTGGAACTAGATGAACAGCAGGCTTGCATTGGTGCAAGTAGTCAAAGAGAACAGGGCTGGAAGGCAGATGTAGATAAGAACGCCATGCTTCTAATTTTTCTTACGCTTCTGAAAATCAGAGGTAGACAAAGCCAGGGGACGACTAGAACCACGACTAGGAGGGGGGCATGAGCAGGGGCGGGGCCACTAGAATGACTACAAAGGGGGGCACGCTTTTCCCAAACCCATGTCTTACCAGGCGGCGTGGTGAACGACGCTGATCCCAATGGGTGTGGGACACGGTGCCGTTGTGTGCCGCGTGGGCGCCACCTTGCCTTGGCCCGGTAGGTGTGCTCGGGCTGGGGTGCGCGACCGTTCCCTGCGCGGTTGGCTACGAGGGTCGCGTTTGCGTTGGCTGGCGTTGCGGGTGCGGCAGTTGTGGTCGGCGCGCGTGCGTTCGCCGCGAGGGAGCCCACCGCTTGGGCTGGGCCTGCTGGGCTGCCGGCGGCGGTCTGGCTGTGCGCGTGGGGAGGGCGAGAGGCGTGGTGCGCCGCCCGGATGGTGCGGCGTTGGCGTGGTATCAGGGGCACCCGAAACCCGCGTGGGCACCCGCCCCAGGCTAGGCAGAGAACCGCTCTGCGCGGCGGCGGCCTGGGGATCCACCGCCTCGCTTGCGGGGGATACTCAGGTGTGGCGGAACCAGCACCGCTTGCCGAAAGGGCAGTGGCCGGTCTCCTGCAAGTACCGGCGCCACTATCCCCGCGAGCCGGACTTTTCGTTATCGCCCTTCCCGTGTGGCTTGCCCTTGCCGCTGGGCTTGCCCTTGCCGGCCGCGTTGCCCTTGCCGCTGCGCGGGTCTTGGAGAGCGGGCTCCAGGGCTTACAGTTTCTTTGCCATTCTCTGCGCCTTGGATAGACGCCTGCGCTTCGCCGCCGGGCCGTCCGCGTCCTCGAGCGCGGCAAGGGGCGTGTTGTCGCGGTTCCTCGCGAGGTGCGGGTGCATACATACATACATACATACATACATACATACATACATACATACGTACATACATACATACATACATACATACATACATACATACATGCATGCATGCATGCATGCATGCATACATACAGACAGACAGCCAGACAGACAGACAGACAGACATGCATACATTCATATATATACACATATATGCATACATACATACGTACATACATACATACATACATACATACATACATACATACATACATGCATGCATACATACATACATACATGCATTCATGCATGCATGCATACATACATACATACATACACACTCATACACATACATACATACATACATACATACATACATACATGCACATACATACACATACATACATACATATACATACATACATACAACATACATACACATAATACATACATACATACATACATACGCATACATGCATGCATGCATGCATGCATGCATACATACATACATACATACATATACATACATACATACATACATACATACATACATACATACATACATACATACATACATACATACATACATACATACATACATACATACATACATACATACATACATACATACATACATACATACATACATACATATAGTCGTCCCTTGACTATCGTTTAAATATTGGAAAAATACCCCCCCTGTGGAGGGACACGCCCGACGTGAGCCTGGGGCCGAGCGGCACCAGGCGCGGCGCCGCCGGCGGCGCCGCCCCGCCGGGCGTCACGGCGGCGCAGGAGAGGGCGGCGGGCTCCGCGCTGGGCAGGCCGCCGACCCCCGTCGCGGGGTAGCACGCCCGCACGGTCACCGCGTACCTCACCGGGGGGGCGGAGGGGCCCGGCCCCCTCGCGTCGTGCTATGCTGTTCCAGCCTACTCTCTAGCCTGAATCACCAGAGAGAATGTCGAGCACCAGGAAGGTGCCGAAGCTCGGGAGTTTGCACGCGTCGGGCCCTGGGAGACTCTCGCCCGGCTCTGTTTCGACACTGTTTCGACACTCTTCCGACACTTTTCTTCCGGGTGCTCGACATTATTTCTGGGGTGTGGTCCTTCAGTACGATGGGAGCAACATGAGCGTGGTGAGGAAAACTCGCGACGGAGGTTTTTCGCTGTCTTTGGCCTCGGGGGGGCCATTCCCAGGCCCCGGGCCCGTCAAAAGACGACTGGGGATGAAGAGCTGGTCCCGGGGAGGGGGTCCAGACCTTTTGGGGTCGACGTCGCGAAAGAACCACGGCGTCGGGGGTCTGGGAAGCGACGGTCACCGTGTGTCCCAAGGGGCGAACAAGCGACAGTACAGTACAGTCAACCCGTATCGCAAGGATGCGCGGTAAGGATGCAGGGGCCTTGGACGCCCATCTCGGGGCTTTTCGAGAGGGGCGCGGCCAACGAAAGCGGCGAAGGATGGGCCGAGGAGGCAAGGATGCAAGGGTACCCTTGGGAAGGTTGCCCATCCTTACTGTGCGGGTGGACTGCAGGGGCCGAACGAGCGACTGTACAGTAGGAGCTCGACCACAGGAAACCTTCCACAAGGAACCCAACCCAGGATCCCTATGGTTAAGTCGGGCCTGTTCCCCTACAGGGGGATTGTCGACGAAATATATATATATATATATATAAAGAGTCCCCCCCCCCAAAAAAAATGCCAAAAAAAAACCCTGGAGGCCAAGCAGGGCGGCTCTTGGCATGGGTTTCCACTGGAAGGGGGCGCATCAGTTGCTGCATCAGAAAAACTGTTCCTCCTTCTCCTCCCCCTCCCCCTCCCCCTCCCCCTCCCCCTCCTCCTCCTCCTCCTCCTCCTCCTCCTCCTCCTCCTCCTCCTCCTTTTCATCCTCCTCCCCGCCGGGGGCGCCAGTCCCAGGGCCGCTGGAAGGTGTGTACACCAACGGTGGCAGGGCGGGGGCGTAAACTGTGCGGCCGCCCTGGGGCTGGCGCACCCGACGGCGGAGAAGCTTACCCACAGCCATCCTGCGGTGTTGGGCCCTCCTCCTCTTCCTCCTCCTCCTCCTCCTCCTCCTCCTCCTCCTCCTCCTCCTCCTCCTCCTCCTCCTCCTCCTCCTCCTCCTCCTCCCCACATCCTCCTCCTCCTCCTCCCCTCCTCCTCCTCCTCCCCTCCTCCTCATCCTCCTCCTCCTCCTCCTCCTCCTCCTCCTTCTCCTCCTCAGCACCCCGCGTCTCCGTCCTCCTCCTCCCCGTCCTCCCGCCTCCCATCCTTACCTCTGCTCTCCGCATGCCCACCACTGCGGCACACCCCGCGGGCTTCGTGGCCCCGGAGGGGGCCCCACCGAGGGTCCCAGAGGCGTCGCTCGCGTACGTCCGCGCCGCCCAGTACAACGCTTCCAAGCCCCACAGGAAGCCCCACCGAAGGCCCCAGAGAGGCGACGCTCGCATGCGCATGCTCCTGCGCCACCCGGTACAGCGCTTCATGGCCCCACGGGGAGTTCACCGAAGGCCCCAGCGGTGCCGCTCGCATACGGCACTCCCTGCTGCATACGGTTGGGTCCCTCGCCAGGCCAATCCTATACCTGGGGTTAGGTCGGGCATGTCCCCCTACAGGCGGATTTTGAATAACAAAATGTTTGTTAACAATTTTTTGTTATAAGACAATAATATTGTTAATAACAGAAATCGTCCCCAGACTATTTTTTACTATTTTTTAAAACTACCCCTGTAGAGGGACAAGCCCGCCTTAACCTGGGAGAACGAAAAATGGCATGAGCATAAAAACTCGGAGGTCCGCGCGGATTTCTCGGATCGGCGCTGGACCCCCCTCCCTGGCGAGCGGCGCCGCCAGGGGGCCCCAGCGCCGATCTGAGGAATCCGCGCGGACCTCCGAGTTTTATGTTGATGTCATTCTTCGTTCCCCGATGTACCGCTCTTCGCCCGCGGGTCACCGCGTGCACGGGAGGAGCCCCACGACGTCCGCCTTCACCGCGCTGCCGGGGTCCAGGTCGGCCTCGCGCTCGCGCCCCGCGGCGGCCTGCGCCAGGCCGAGGAGCTCGGGGAGCTGCACCTCGGCCTGGCCGTCCAGCAGCGACCTCGCCTTTGGAGGCTTGCCGCCTCCTCCTCCTCCTCCTCCTCCTCCTCCTCCCTCCTCCTCCTCCTCCGCATCATCATCATCATCATCATCATCATCATCACCATCAATCAGCATCATCATCATCAGCATCATCATCCATCATCATCATCATCAGCATCATCATCAGCATCATCATCATCATCATCATCATCATCATCATCATCATAATCAGCAGCATCAACATCATCATCATCAGCATCATCATCATCAGCATCATCATCATCATCACCATCATCATCAGCATAAGCATCATCAGCATCATCAGCAGCATCTTCATCATCATCATCATCATCATCATCATCATCATCATCGTCATCGTCATCGTCATCGTCATCGTCGTCATCATCATCATCATCATCATCAGCATGATCATCATCATCATCAGCAGCAGCAGCATCATCAGCATAATCATCAGCATCATCGTCATCACAATCATCATCACCATCATCATCATCGTCATCATCATCATCAGCATCAGCATCAGCAGCATCATCATCACCATCATCATCGTCATCATCATCATCATCATCAGCATCAGCATCAGCATCAGCATCATCATCATCATCATCAGCATCAGCATCATCAGCATCATCATCATCAGCATCATCATCATCATCATCACCATCATCATCATCATCATCATCATCATCATCATCATCATCATCATCATCCTCAAGTGGGCACCAAGACCAGCACATGGGGTTGCCTCCATGTGAGGAAGATGATCCTAGATTTTGGCATCGGTGGTAATCCTTCGGCCACCTGGGCAGCCCGAACATCACCACCGTCGCAGAGATCGGGATCATCTTCCCTCGGCGGAGGCAAACCGCCGATGCTTGTGGTGTTGTCAACATCCAGGCGGGCGACGCCTGGGGCGTCTGCAGCAGCTCCTCCAGTGGCTGTCGCGCCGCGTGGGTCCCCTCGACCACCACCTTGCGGGGCAACGATGGGGGGGAGCACGGGCTCCTGGGGGGGGGGGGCATCGACCCAGAATCGACGGCACGTCGCTGGTTTTAGGTCGGGCCTGTCCCCCTACAGGGGGATTTTGGACGAAAAATGAAAAATAGTCAAAAAAATATCCTAAAATGGTCAAAAAATACTTTTGAATGTTCCTCCTGTAGAAGGACAGGCCCGACTTAACGCTGGCTGACTGGCGACAGGCCCCCAAGGGCGAACCCGCGCAGTCCTGGGCGAGGTGGGTTCTCGGGCCCCCCTATCGGCGATGAGTTGTCGACTGGGAGTCGATGCACGCCCCTGAGCCTGTCCCCCCCTTACTGCTCCCCCTGGCTCGGGCTCCAGCTCTCGGGCCATGAATCCGGCCGCGGGCGGCCGTTCGGGACGATCCGGGCGCTCCCAGAGCGCCCTCGGCGAGGCGGAGCTGCCGGAGCGCTCCCCGAGGCTGGGAGGCACCCGAGAGTCGACGAAAGCGTCCGAAAACCCCCTGAGCCTGTCCCCCCCCCTGACGTTGCCCATGACACCCCATCCTCCCCCTCTGAGAGGAGGAGGAGGAGGAGAAGGAGGAGGAGGAGGAGGAGGAGGAGAACCAGTACTAAAGCCCAAGACGCATCAAGGATGTTGCAATACACCCTCCCTTTCGCTCTTCGTAGGCCCCTACAAGAATTGAACTCGTTGCGGGAAGTGGCCCGTTAGAAGACAACCGTCTGAGAGTCTTCGATCGTTCCGGATGACCGTTCCTGGGACTGCAACGCAGCGGATCAACGTGACTGCTGCGCCCTGACAATCCTCAACCGTGCCAAAACCCCAGTCCTCGGACTTCACTGGGAATCCACGTGACTGTTGCGGCCTGACAATCCTAGATCGTGCCAGAACACCATTCCTGGGACTTCACCTAGACGAATCCTTGAAACTGATATCAACTTGTAAAAAACGAACGTGCGCGGCGCAAAAGCGAGAGCCACATGATACAAAATTATCCCAGTGCGACCCTACCTAGGAGTTGGAGCCCCTAGGAAAGCAGCACTAGTAGTAACAGCAAAGCTAAGCTAAAGCTAAGAAAAAGCTAAGCTAACGCTAAGCTAAGGCTAAAGCTAAAGCTAAGCTAAGGCTGAGCTAAAGCTAAGCTAAAGCTAAGCTAAAGCTAAGCTAAAGCTAAGCTAACACTAAGATAACGCTAAGCTAGAACTAAGCTAAGCTAAAGCTAACGCTAAAGCTAAGCTAAAGCTAAGCTAACACTAAGCTAACGCTAAGCTAGAGCTAAGCTAAAGCTAAGCTAAAGATAAGCTGAAGCTAAACTAAAACTAAGCTGAAGCTAAGCTGAAACCAAGCTAAAGCTAAGCTGAAGCTAAGCTAGAGCTAAGCTAAAGCTAAGCTGAAGCTAAGCTGACGCTAAGCTAGAGCTAAGCTAAAGCTAAGCTGAAGCTAAGCTGAAGCTAAGCTAAAGCTAAGCTAGAGCTAAGCTGAAGCTAAGCTAAAGCTAAGCTAGAGCTAAGCTGAAGCTAAGCTAGAGCTAAGCTGAAGCTAAGCTAACGCTAAGCTAGAACTAAGCTAAAGCTAAGCTAAAGCTAAGCTGAAGCTAAGCTAGAGCTAAGCTAAAGCTAAGCTGAAGCTAAGCTAAAGCTAAGCTAGAGTTAAGCTAAAGCTAAGCTGAAGCTAAGCTCAAGCTAAGCTAAAGCTAAGCTAAAGCTAAGCTGAAGCTAAGCTAAAGCTAAGCTAAAGCTAAGCTAGAACTAAGCTGAAACTAAGCTAGAGCTAGGCTGAAGCTAAACTAAAGCTAAGCTAGAGCTAAGCTAAAGCTAAGCTAAAGCTAAGCTGAAGCTAAGCTAGAGCTAAGCTAGAGCTAAGCTAAAGCTAAGCTAGAGCTAAGCTGAAGCTAAGCTGAAGTTAAGCTAGAGCTAAGCAAAGCTAAGCTAGAGCTAAGCTGAAGCTAAGCTGAAGCTAAGCTAAAGCTAAGTTAAAGCTAAGCTGAAGCTAAGCTAAAGCTAAGCTAAAGCTAAGCGAAAGCTAAGCTAAAACTAAGCTAAAGCTAAGCTCAAGCTAAGCTAAAGCTAAGCTGAAGCTAAGCTAAGCTGGGTGAACCCAGGGGGCGCAACTGGGGGAACCGCGGGGTGGGGACTGGGGGAACCGCCCGGGGCGGTTTCCATTGCCCGGCCCCTTTCAGCTAGAGAGTAAGAACCCTTCTAGGCAGAGCCTAGGTAGGGAAAAAGCGCCATCCATCAGTGAAGCTGCTGTAAGACGAATGTGCGCGGTGCAAAGGCGAGAGCCATCTGTTGATAACGACCCGCCCCCGATCCGCGAAACTGCTGCAAATGTTGAGAAGAATGTGCGCGGCGATGGGGGCGAGCCATATGTTGGAAACGAACCACCCTCCACACGTGAACCTCTCGAAAAAACGAAGATCAGGACCATAAACAGTGAGGAATCCCAGGCGATACGCCCGGCCCTACTGACACGCCTGGGGGCGCGACAGAAAGAAGTTACGTATATAAGGAAAAAGGATGGATGAGGAGGAGGAGGAGGAGGAGGAGGAGGAGGAGGAGGAGGAGGAGGAGGAAGAGGGGAAGCGCAGCCTACGGTCGGGAACTTGCGGAGAGCGCGTCGCCACTGCGGCCCCAGCGGCACGCCGTGGACGCTGTGCCCTGCGAGCGGACAGCGTGGCGCTCCGCTCCGCGGGGCGGGAGGCTCGGGAGAGCTCGGGGCGTGGACGCCGGGCGGCCGCGAAAGCGGAGAGCGTGTCGCGCCAAAGCGACTTTGGAACCAGCGGGGCGACACGCAGTCCAAAGTTCCCGGGGGGTCGGCCGCAGGGTCGGGGCACAATTGGAGGAGCAGGAGGAAAGGTCGGCGGCGGAGGAGCAGGAAAGGTAAGCGACGGAGGAGGGGGAGGAGGAGGAGGAGGAGGAGGAGGAGGAGGAGGAGGAGGAGGAGGACGACGAGGAGGAGGAGGAGGAGGAGAGGAGGAGAAAGAGTAAGAGAAAGGTAGAGGAGGGAAAAAGGGCGGTCGGAAGGGAGGAAGGAAGGAGGGAGGAGGAGGGAGGAGGAGGGAGGAGGAGGAGGGAGGAGGAGGAGGAGGAGCAGGAGGAGGAGGAGGAGGACGAGGAGGAGGAGGAGGAGGAGAAGGGAGGAAGAGGAAGAGAGAGGTAGAGAGGGGAAAGAGGGCGGGAGGAAGGAAGGGAGGGACGAGGAGGGAGGAGGGGTCTCGGAGGGAGAAGAAGGAGAAGGAGGAGGAGGAGGAGGAGGAGGAGAAGGGAGGAGGAGGAGGAGGAGGAGGAGGAGGATGAGGAGGAGGAGTCCGTAGCCATGTTGGCTCAAGCCGCTGCCTCTCGGGGGGGACCCTCCCCGCCCAGCGCCGCCAGGACGGGGCGGGGGGACCCCACTGGAGGGCGGACGGCCACGCGGGGCACCCAGCCGTCTCGCGCCATCGCGGCCGCGGAGCCCGCTCAGTCGAGCCAGGACACCAGCATGGGGGCCGCCCGAAAGCGCGGCGGCCCAACCCCAGACATCATCGCGTCATGGAAAAACAAAAAAAACATCGGGACGGGAAATTTGTGGCTGGTTGCGGCCCCGGGGGCCCCCGCCGGGCCTCGGGCCCGTCAGAGGACGACTCGGGGCGAAAAAAGCCCGTCCTGGGGAAAGGGTCGGGATTTCCAGGGACGCCGTCCTGAAAAAAATCACGACGTCGGAGGTCTGAGTGGGTGGCTGTCAAGGAAGCATGGGGCCCGACGATCTCCGCACCCGCGAGATCGCCACGCTGGGGCCTTCGGCATCCCAGCGAGAGGCCTGCCGCAGGCGCCTCCTCGCAAACAACGCAGCGTTGCACCACCCGCCCAAGGCCAGTGCCAACGAGGATCGAGGACCCTGATCAAGAACAAGGGCTCAAGCCAGCACTTGGCAAAGAAGCTGCCGAGTTTGTGCCTGCTGCCGTCGACAGCACCACCGCCCGCCACCGACGCCATCCAGCTGATGGACGACAGGATTGCCATAGCGAGGAAGGAGATTGGAAGAAGAAACAACTGCATAAACAGAAACTTTTGGCGCTCCGCACGGATTTCTCGGATCCGCGCTGGACCCCCCTCCCTGGCGCGCGGAGCGCGCCAAGGGCGGCGCCTGAGCGCCGCTGGGGGGGCCCAGCGCGGATCCATGAAATCCGAGCGGAGCACCAACAGTTTTATATATATATATATACATATATAGATATGACGCTTATGCTTATTATTGTCAGAATTAGTAGTAGCATCCTTGGCTGTATTATTATAACTATAATTCTTACTCGTCTTATAATTACCCGTAGTATTCGTATTAGTATTATGCTTAGAAGTATCCGTCTATTATTCGTAGTACTATTATTAATATTTCTATTATGTTTCTTCTTCTTGTTTGAGAGAGAGAGATGGTGAAGGGCTTCTCCGCCACTGGCCGCGTCCTTCAGGCCAGTGCCGCTCCACACACGTCGCTCTTGTGTTGGTGGACACCAGAGATCCCAGATGCGCCTTCGACCTGACGGGCCGCACCTCCTGCGCGGCTTACCCGAAGGACCACCTCGCCCACGAGACCGCGGAGGCCGCCGTCCGCGGAGGCGCTGACCGCCCGGCGCAACATGACTACCTACCAGACCTTCCCAACCCAACCCGAAGGCCCGAATTTCGGAGGAGGAGGAGGAGGAGGTTGGGGGGGGGTACGGATTCCATACGTGTTTTTCAGTGTTCCCAGAGCCCCCCCCCCCACTGGGAATGGAGGACAAATTGGGGCCTTCGGGTTGGCTTGGTGGGTGGCTTGGCGGGTGGCGACACCAGGACCGACAGCGAGACGGCGAACCGACCAGGACAGCACAGGCCACATCGGCGCAGCAGCCCCCCATGTCCGCCAAGTCGCCCTGTGCAGAGGGGGGCGGGGGGGCGGGGGGGCGCCCCGCAACCTGAGGCTGGCCTCGCCAGCCAGTCCTCCCCTCGCGGGGGCTGTCGGCAGTGGCCTGCTTCCAGCGGGCCAGGGCGAGCGCACCGCCCACGCGACAACGTCGACGACGCAGCAACCCCTGACGACTGCCAAGCCGTCCTGTGCACAGGGGCGGGGCGCAGGCCTGGCGGTGCACAGCGCGCGTGCCACATATACAGCGCGGCAGCGCCCGGCAGCTGGACAATCGCCCTGCGCAAGGACGCGGGGGGCGCCGGTCCGCTTGTCTGGGGCCACCCACGCCGCCCCAGGCGGGCAGGAAGACAAGGGCTCTATCCAGGAGCGGACTTGAGAAGAAGAAGCATATGCATCAACAAAAACTGTTGACGCTCCGCGCCGATTTCTTGGATCCGCGCTGGACCCCTCCCTGGCGCGCGGAGTGCGCCAGGGGCGGCGCCTGAGACGCCGGGGGCGGCGCCTGAGGCGCCGCTGGAGGAGCCAGCGCGGATGCAAGAGGTCCGCGCGGAGCACCAAAGTCTGTATGCATGACGCTTCTAAATAACATTATAAGTAGCATCATCATTGCTATTATTAGTAGTAAGATTATCATGATTCCTATCATTATTAGTATCCTCCTTATTAGTATATATATATAGTATTGTTGGTGTTGTTATTATTATAATTGACATTATTGTTGCTATTCTGATTTTAATATGTTTATACCGTTTCCTCCCTCGAGACTGTTCACAGGCACGCTCGCAAGCGCGCGTCCAAGGAGGCGAGGCAGCTGCTCGTCCGTGCAGGGCCGACGCCGGCCGACGCGCAGACGCTCTCGCTGGCCCTCCCTGGGCGGCCCGTGGACGTCCTCCAGGCAGCCCACTTGGGAGTCCCAGGCGAACGAGACGAGGCACTGGGGGAGGTGCAAGTGTCTACGAAGAAGAGCCATCAGCATAAACTTTCTGGCGCTCCTGGATCCTGGATCCGCGCCTTGGACCCCAAATCCGCGCGGAGCGCCAAAAGTGTATGTTTATATGGTTTTTCCTTCTTCTAAATGGCAGAAGCACCCTCTGCGCCAAACGCTGGCTACAACTAGGGGTTCTCGCGATGATCGGCAAGGCCACATTCTGCAGGGCGATCAAACCCTCAGCTGCGAGCGCGGCTGGCAACTGTGTTCCACATGCCATGTCCAGCAGCGCATCTCGAGCGCCGTGCTCGAACGCTTTGCACTGCGCCACCTGACACGGCCACTCGCGATCTTGTCACAGGTGGTGAGCCGCTACGTCTGTAAACAACGGTCAAAAGCTTGGGATAATGCGTGCCGCGGGTGGTGAGCAGCCGGTTGCGTAAACAGCGGCCTGAGGCTTCGGATAGTGAACGCGCGCAGGTGGTGAGCCGCTACTTGCATAAACAACGGCCGGAGGCCTGGGCCAGTGAGAGCAGCAGTTCTTCTCACCAGCCACCCAGCCACGCCAGGGGGCCTCTCCAGATCACTCGATTTGTCCACCTCGTCTGCCTCACTAGACATGTCCTCCCTCCTCTGCCTCACCTCTGCCCCGAACCGCCAGGCCACCCCTGCCGACAGAGCAAGGGCCCGGCGCAGCAGACCCGCTCTCGCCCGAAGAGGGGGCGCGAGGTCAGCCCTCTTTGCTGCGGGGCCCGCCGCGCCCGCGCGTGCACGTGAAGGCACTCGCGTCTCGCCAGCTTGCGCTGGAGCCGAAGCGTCTAGAAGAAACAGCGGCATAAGCATACACATTTGGCGCTCCGCGCGGATTTCTTGGATTTGCGCTGGGCCCCCCTCCCTGGCGAGCGGAGCGCGCCAGGGGCGGCGCCAGGGGCGGCACCAGAGGCGCCGCCGAAGGGGCCCCAGCGCGGATCCGAGAAATCCGCGCTGAGCGACGAAAGTTTATATGTTTATGGCGTTGTGTTCGTCTTCGAGTGAATGCACCCGCGTCGCGCCAGCTTGCGCTGGAGCCGAAGCGTCGCAGCAGGAGCAGCTGTCTCAAGACGCGCCACCGGCGACACAGGCCGAGACCTCGTGCGGCGCACCCTGGCGGGCCAGGCTGTGCCGCGTCCCCGGGGCCCCGCCGCGCGTGCCACGGAGCGGGTTGGCGGCGCGGTCCAGTGCTGCGCTTCACTCGATGATGAGGGGGGGCAGGTCGCCAACGGCGGGGGGTGCGGTGGACGTTCCCCCGGGGCCGTAGGCGACCCGAGGAGGGGAGGGCGAGGAGGAGGAGGAGGAGGAGGAGGAGGAGGAGGAGGAGGAGGAGGGGGAGGAAGGGGGAAGAGGAGGAGGAGGAGGAGGAGGAGGAGGAGGAGAAGGAGGGGGAGGAGGGGGAGGAGGAGGAGGAGGAGGAGGAGGAGGAGGAGGAGGAGGAGGAGGAGGAGGAGGAGGAGGATAATCTGACATTCACATCCACCACTGCAGAGCGAATCACAAAGCAGTCAACGGGGGGCCAGGGCTGGACCTCACCAGCCCTGTATCCCCCGGCCGCGAGGAGGACCACGTGGAACGCCGACGGCACCACGAGGCAGAGCATCTCCCCGACCGCTACGGCAGGGCTCACAAGGGGGAAGAGCCGCCACGGCACGCCTGCGAGATGCTCCCGAGCACCATCCGCGCCCGCTCCCGCACGTCCGGCATCTCCGCGCCGACGCGGAGCAGCCGACGAGGTCCGGCGCCAGCCAGCACGAGATCCGCCCGCTGGCGCACGTGGAGGAGGAGGAGGAGGAGGAGGAGGAGGAGGAGGAGAAAAGGGAGGAGGAGGAGGAGGAGGAGGAGGAAGATAGGAGGAGGAGGAGGAGGAGGAGGAGGAGGAGGAGGCGGATGAGGAGCCGCCGAGCCCGAGCGGCGAGGCGAGGCGCCGCCGCCGCCGAGGCCGCGGGGAGAGCAGCGGGCACCGCCGAGGCCGACGCCGCCGCGAGCCTCAGAGCTCCCGCCGCCGCCCCACGGGCACGCACTGCGCCCCGCCTCGGCGAGCCGACGGGGACTCGGCGCCACTGGGCGGGTGCGCCCAGGGGCGTCGTCCAGCTCGTCGTCGCCCTCGGCGCCCGAGGCCGCAGCGCCCTCGGGTGCTGCCGGAGTGCCCCTGGCCCAAGGTGCCCCCAGGATCTCCGAGGCGGCCCCCACGGGCTCCAGAGCACCCCGCACGAGGCCCAGAGGGCCTCAGGGGCTCCAGGATGGAGCGAGAAAGCTGGGGGCACCCTGGGCCAAGGGCACTTCTAGCAACCCCCGAGACTCCCCCGCCACCAGCGTCGCCACCGCCACGAGCCGCCTTGCGCGCCTCCGCCTTCCATGGGCTGCGGCGCCGCCGCCGCCGCTCCGCCAGGGCCGCCGCTGCAGCCTCGGAGCGCAGGGGGGGCGAGAGCCTTCGGCCGCAGCAGCTCCGTCCGCAGTAGGCTGCGCTGGCCGATCGGCGATCGCCCGCAGCGATGCCGATAAGACCGAGCGCGCCACAGCAGCGACAGTACGTCGCTGCGCTCCAGCGAGGACTGAGCCGCGGACAGCCGCCTCCACCAAGGAGGCTGCATCGGGCGCAATCGAAGCTCCTCTGGGCCGCGCCATCGCACCCGCGGAGGAGAAGGAAAGCGAGTCCGAGCGACCGCTTGAGCCAAAATGGCCTGATCCAAAATGGCTACGACAGGAGGAGGAGGAGTAGCAGGAGGAGCCCGACGCTGCCCCAGCCGCCTGGACAGTGCCCGCGGCCTCCGCGGCGCGGGGGCTGCCCGCGCCGCCAGGGTCGGCGAACGCAGGCACGGCCCGCAGGACATAGTCCACGCGGGTGGCCCCGGGGAGCCGCCCGAAGGGCGGCCAGGACAGGGAGAGCCGCGTCGCGCTGACCTCGTGGGCGAGTCGTCCTCATCCTCATCATCTTCATCCTCCTCCTCCTCCCCCTCCTTCTCTTCCTCCTCCTCCTCCTCCTCATCATCATCATTATCATCAGCAGCAGCAGCATCAGCATCATCATCATCACCATCATCATCATCATCATCACCATCATCATCCTCATCATCAACAACATCAGCAGCACAATCATCAGCATCACCACCAACACCACCACCACCACCACTGCCATCATCATCATCATAATCATCATCATCAGCAGCAGCATCATCACCATAAGCATCATGATCACGACCATCACCATCACCGTCATCATCATCGTCATCATCATCATCATCATCATCATCACCATCATCATCACCATCACCATCACCATCACCAGCACCAGAACCATCACCATCATCAGTAACAACCTTATCGTCGTCGTCGTCGACCTCGTCGTCGTCGTCGTCCACCGCATCATCACCATCATCAGCAGCATCATCATCAGCACCACCACCAGCATCGACGTCATCATCGTCGTCATCAGCATCGTCATCAACGGCGTCGTCCGCATCAGCAGCAGCATCATCATTATCAGCATCATCATCACCACCACCACCACCACTACCATCATCATCAGCATCATCATCGTCGTCATCATCACCAGCACCGCGGTCGTCAGCACGTCGTCGTCGTCCGCATCATCATCATCATCATCATCATCATCATCATCAGCAGCAGCAGCAGCATCATCATCATCATCATCATCATCATTGGCATCATCAGCATCATCAGCATCATCATAATCATCACCATCATCATCACACTCAGAATCAGCATCATCATCGTCGACATCATCATCACCAGCATCATCAGAAGCGTCATCATCATCATCACCAGCACCACCACCATCATCATCATCATCAGCACCATCATTATCGTCACCAGTGTCATCATCGTCGTCGACGTCATCAACCTCGTCGACGCCGTCGTCGTCGTCCACCGCATCAACACCATCGTCATCATCATCATCATCAGCAGCATCATCAGCATCAGCATCAGGATCTTCAGCATCATCATCATTATCATCGCAAGCATCGTCGTCGTCGTCATCATCCGCATCATCATCATCATCATCATCATCATCAGCATCATCATCAGCATCATCATCATCAACATCATCATCATCATCACCATCATCATCATCATCAGCATCAGCATCATCATCATCGTCATCATCAGCATAATCAGCCTGTTCATCGCCGTCATCATCATCAAAAGCATCATCATCAGCATCATCGTCATCGTCATCTTCATCGTCACCATCCTTCTCACTATCCGCATCATCATCAGCATCGTCACCGTCGGCGTCATCATCATCAGCATCAGCAGCATTAGCATCAGCATCATCATCACCATCATCATCATCGCCATCATCACCATCATCAGTATCAGCATCATCATCACAATCATCGTCGTCGTCATCGTCATCGCCACCGCCATCATCAGCAACAGCATCCGCATTACGCAAGACGTCGTCATCATCAGCAGAATCATCAACATCATCAGCATCAGCATCAGCATCACCAGTGTCATCATCATCAGCAGCATCATCGCCATCATCACACATCATCATCAGCATCATTATCATCGTTAGCATCAACGGCATCGTCGTCGTCACCATCACCAGCATCATCAGCACCGTCATCAGCATCGTCAACAGCATGATCACCATCATAAACATCAACATCAACATCAACATCAGCAGCAACATCAACATCAGCATCAACATCATCATCAGCATTGTCGGCGTCATCGACATCGTCGTCGTCGTCCGCGTCATCATCATCATCATCATCATCATCATCATCATCATCATCATGATCATCCTCATCAACATACCCATCATCATCAGCATCACCATCCTCATCATCGGCAGCGTTACCATCGTCGTCGACACCGTCATCAGCATCAGCATCATCATCATCACACCATCATCCTCATCATCATCATCACCAGCATCATCATCATCATCATGGCCACCGTCGTTGCCCGAATCAACACCAGCATTGTCAGAACCAAATTGAACATGAGCATGATCATACTCAATTTCAACACCATCATCAGCATCATCATCATCTTCAAAGTCGCCATGATAATCGTCGTCATCATTATGAGCATCATGCTCATCACCATCACAATCCACCATCAGCGTCTTCATCATCACGAACACCGTCGTCGTCACCATCATCCCTGTCGTCGTCCGCGTCATCAACATAATCATCATCGTCGTCGTCACTGTCGTCGTCCTCACCATCATCATCATAATCATCGTCATCATCATCATCATATCATCAGCAGCAGTATCACCATCACCATCAACATCATCATCATCATCATCGTCGTCGTCATGGGTATGTTCGACGCAGTTGACGTCATCGTCATCAGCAACAGCATCATCATCATCTTCATCATCATCAGCATCGTCATCATCACCATCCTCAACCTCAATATCATCATTATCATCATCATTATCACAAGCATCGTCGTCATTATCATCATCATCGTCACCAGCATCAGCATCAGGATCATGACTGTCGGCTCCCTCGTCGTCGTTGTCGTCGTCGGCATCGTCGTCGACCACAACAACATCATCATCATCATCACCATCATCATTATCAACAACAACATCATCATCGACATCATCATCGTTCCCATCATCATCATCATGATCGTCGTCATCGCCAGTGTCTTCTTCATCATCATCATCATCAGCAGCAGCATCATCAACATCATCGTCGTCGGCACCATCATCGTCGCCCTGGCCACCGCCACCGCCGTCGCCTACGTCGGCATTGTCATCATCATCATCGGAATCATCAGCATCAGCATCGTCGTTGTCGTCGTCCTTGTCGTCGTCGTCCAAAACATCATCAGCACCAGCAGCATCATCAGCATCATCTCCATCACCACTGTCGGCATCATGATCATCAACATCATCATCATCATCATCATCATCATCATCATCATCAGCAGCAGCAGCAGCAGCAGCGTCGCCGTCATCATCATCCTCATCGCCTATGTCGTCCACATCACCATCCTCATTATCATCGTCATCGTCGTCATCATCATCAGCATAAACGTCTTCGGCATCACCATCATCGCCATCGTCGTCGTCGTAGCCGGCCTCGTTGTTGTCGTCCACCTCGTCATCATGATCATGAGTACCATCATCATCATCATCATCATCATCATCATCAACATCATCATCATCATCATCACCATCATCATCATCCTCATCATTGTCATCATCTTCGTCATCAGCAGCATCGTCATCATCGTCGTAGTCAAGATCATGAGCATCGTCGTCGTCGGACATATCAGCATCGTCATGGTCATTGCCATCGTCGACAGCATCATCACCACCATCATCATCCTCGTAGCCATCTTCATCATCAACGTCGGCATCATCATCATCATCATCGAAAAATCATCATCATCATCATCATCATCATCATCATCATCATCATCATCATCATCATCATCATCATCATTATCATCAGCATCATCATCATCCCTGCCAACGATGCCGCCGTCGCCGTCATCGTAAGCGTCGTCGGCGTCCGCACCATCGGCATCAGAATCATCAGCATCAGCAGCATTATTATCAGCATCATCACCAACATCATAATTATCGTCGTCGTCTATCGGCGGCGTCCTCATCATCCTTATCATCATCATCATCATCATCATCATCATCACCATCATCATCATCAGCATCATCATGATCATCATCATCATCATCATCATCATCACCA